GATCTCAATTAATATTATTCTATTCTCTTTTATTTTATTTCTTCGTTTTGAACAAAAAAATGGATATTATTCATTGTTGTTGTTGTTGTTGAAGATGAAAAGATGCACATTTTTGTTTTTGCATATATCATTTGTCAATTTCTAGCTAATAAATATTTTAAATTTTGCCATGGTTGAAAGGTATATTACCTATAACAAAATGACGAAGGAAGCTTAATTATCTCGGAGATTCATGAAGAGAGAGTCATAGTAGTATAACAGTTTGAATGATTTCCAAACATTTTGAAGATTCATTGTTGTATTATTTTGATCTCAATTAATATTATTCTATTCTCTTTTATATTTTTTCTTCGTTTTGAACAAAAAAATGGATATTATTCATTGTTGTTGTTGTTGTTGAAGATGAAAAGAAGCACATTTTTGTTTTTGTATATATCATTTGTCAATGTCTAGCTAATTAATATTTTAAATTTTGCCATGGTTGAAAGGTATATTACTTATGGTACATTATTTTTATATCAATTGGATATTATTGCCCCTAAAAATATATGATGTGGTCTATCATATTAGAAATCAGTCACAAAATAAATGAATAAATCTTCTTTTTAGTATTAATTTTTTTAATGATATATTTTAATTGGGCACACCCAATATCACTTTGTAAGAATACACTACATTGTTGTTGTTTTAATTAAACATATAAATTAAAGTTGGCATTTTTTAATGTGAATGAATAACACATGACAATGTGAGTTAGTAATGAAATCGTATGAGAATATATGTAAAGTTATGAATAATAAAATCAATTTCGAGTAGAACACTTTTGTATTGTAATGTGTTGTGTATCACATTTAAAGTTTCTTCATTTGTTAAAACTATTACCTTTTCATTTTCTCCTATTAAATAAATACGGGGAGAAACTAATCCTACGAACATAATTAGAACTTTGAATTTATCATTCCCTAAAATTAATCTCATTAATTTTCCTTTCTTAAACTAAGAAATATTTTGTTTTTCTTTTTTCATTTTTTTTACATTTATATATATATATATATATATATATATATATATATATATATATATATATATACACACACACATATATATTAAAATTTTCATTTTCATAATTTATATCTCTTTATCTTCATAACTTATATTTTCATAATCTCTATAGCTCCTCATAACTCCCAAATTCAAATGTGTAAACTTATGATAATTTATTGTGTTTCTTAATGAATAACTATATAAATATGTATCGTAAGGCAATCCTTTTTGAAGCAAATGTTAATGTACTTTAATTCACATTTGATGTACTCATGAGGAAAATGTTATTAATTATGCATATTGATTTTTTCTTTCTTTTTAGTTACTCATGTTGAAGATCAATTCTGAACACAAAATCGTAGGTTCTAACTTATAGAACCTACCATATTAGTAATATTATGCACTCTTTCATATTAAGAATCTACCATAATGATCTTCACCACTTATAGCATCAAAGAAATGTCAATTGAAACAAATTATATATATATATATATATATATATATATATATATATACTTAGAGGACCATGAATTGAGATGGGGATTAAAGAATAGAAAATTAAAAGAAATATTTAAACTAAATTTTGAAAGAATTTGATTAAGACCATGCAATACAATGTCATAAGTTCTCAACTTGTGTTGCAACTTATTCCTTAAAAGAAAAGAAAAAGAACTACGATAGAAAATAATTTTTTTGCCAAAATCTAAAATAACAATTGAAGAAAAAAGTGTAATTTAATGAACCAATACTATAACTTGTGTTTTTGTTATTTTTTTATTGTTTTTTTATCCCACGTTTAGTTTATCTATTTTTTATTTCACGTTTTATTTTATATGAATTGAAAGAAGTAATCGTAAAACAAAATCTATTAAATGAAAATGTTGATCCCAGAATTGATGATTTCGCAAATTTTTGAGTCAAAATTGTTCTCTTTTTGCCTTGGTTTACTTATATGGTAATTGCACTCCACGCATATGTTTTAATATTAAATACTCATATTCTTTATACTATGAAAATCATACTTTTATAACTCTTTTGAAGTATATTAAAATATAATTATCAAAATAAATAAGATTGTTAATATAAATATTTAATATATATATATATATATATTATGAAATTTAAAAATAGGATAAATAGTTATGCCAAAAATACTTATTCATGCATTTGATAAATTAATTTATTTTTGTTAAATATGTATCTTTTGAAAAATTTAAATAAAAAATGAATACGTGTGACGAAATAAGTTGATTCGAATTTTAATGTATGATAAAAATAAAATCACAAAATTTAGTACATAAAAAATTTCTGATTAAATTTTTAAATTATATTTTAATATACTTAGTAATGAATATATATCTCACGTGGGGTGTCTATGTATTAATTTCATATAAAAAGATGTGTAATCATTTGATTTGAAAATGCAAGGATTATATTTGAAATTAAAGCATATTATTAGAGTATTCAATTTAATTAACCTTTAATTTTATTATTCTCTATAAAATATGCGAAGAGGTTTATTATCTATCAAATATTTTTACATAGTTAATACGAATCTATTTATCTCTATATTTCATATAAAAGATATTGATAAAAATATAGTAAGTGAGTTAATAATTCAAAAAAAAAAAATCATGTCCTCATTCGAGGTTGAATATATTGAAACTTAATAATCAGTAGCGTAACGTTTTTAAAGTACTTTATGAAAAATCATATTTGACGAGTGTAACATAACATTTATCTATTGATATAAATACAACTAAAGAATCTAAAATACCAATAGACGTGATTTATGCAAAAATCATACAAATCTAAATTGTATATTTGAAAAAGGAACAAGAATAATTGAAAAATGAAATATTTAAAGGAATTTTATCATATCAATATGAAAATAATAATAGGATGTGTTGATGTATTTCATTAGTATTTTTCAGTTACTTCACAATATAATTCTTAGATACTAAAAAAAAGAAAGAAGGTACAAACCTAAGTATATGTTGTAATATAAAGATTCAAATTCATTGATATTCCAATAAAATGTACAGAGTGACATCAAAATCTATTGTTAAATACATGTTCAGTGCAATATAAACGAAACAAAAAAATTACTAACAAAATATATCTTGACATATTGATTAAGAATGTAAATCCCCCATTTAATAGATTATAGATGTTAAATTTGTTATGTTTCATTTCAATTGTCATGTCAAAATGATCTTCATAATTAATATATAATTAAAAAATAAAGTAATAATATTAAGTTTGGGCAAAGAGAGAACGTATATAATTGATTGAATAAAATAGTTCTTTAATAATTATTTCAAAGACTGCGCAAGACGCGGTCAAATTCCCTAGTTAATCTATAACTCTCAATAATTGGGATATTTTTTCCTAATATAAACATTTATACATCATATGGTAGGGGTGTTCACGGATCGGTTTGGATCGGTTATTGGTCAAAATTAAAATCAAATCAACTTAATTGATTTTAAAATTATCAAAATCAAACCATTATCGGTTTTGGTTCGATTATTCAGTTATTAACCATAGACAAAAATAAGAGAAACAATTCATTCAAAACGTGAAAAAATGGCAACAATCAATTCAAAACAAAAATAGTTAGAATACCTGACATTACATAACTTTCACTCATTGAATTTACTATGAATAAAGCGTCAAAATTTATTATTTTCGCCCAGAAGGAATAGACAGTGACATTTTCAATCTCATAAAGGATTGTCATAGACACTCATATACATGAAACCAATAAAATAATATTCTCACATTGGCATTTTTGCTTTCATAAGTAAATTATAATTAAATTTTGATGAAAACACATATAAGATCTTTAAAATTGTTTATAAAAATAATATATTATGTATGTATAATAATTAAATATATGTATATAATTTGTCGGTTCAGTTCAGTTATTTCCTCATTTTTTTGGACAAAATCATAACCAACCTAAATACTATCGATTTTAAAAAAAAAATCTAAAACCAAACCACACCTAACCCAAATAAAGTTGATTTATTTAATTGATTTGGTTCGATTTGAATCGATTTTTATCCAAATCATGAACACCCCTAATCATAGGTGTATATCCATCTTTGATAATATGTAGGGTAGATTACGTTGATTGTTGTATTTTATATATATATATATATATATATATATATATATATATATATATATATATGCAAAATTAGAGAAGATATACATGTTGCAGGCAACATACAATTAATGTCGTTAAGTTAGCTGCCTAGTATAGATGTGCACTACATATATATTGTCACCTGTTCTATATAATATAATATAATAGTAAATCATTAGACGTCACACAACTACAGTACATAGAAAAAGTTTAAATTTAATTTGAAGATTAGACTTGTCATGCCTAGTATAATTATCACGATTATTTTAGTAAATCATGAATAGGTATTTATTTTTTTTCAAAAAGAAATTCTAATAACAGATATATTTGTTTCATTCTTAGAGAAAGTAATCGAATCAAATACCTCAAATACAGTGACAGAATTCAAATCCTTAAAGGATATGTTGAGATAAATTGTGATTATACAAGTGTAAGTTAGATTAGTCCTCAATTAGTTAGTTTTCCGTTTACTAGTTAGCTTAGCTTTCCGTTAGTTAGTTAGCTTTCCGTTAAAGTTAGTTAGTCAAGTTTTCTAGAAGATTCCCAGTTCCTATTGTATATATATATACAGTGTAATCATCTAAAGCAATACAATTTTGATTTCCAAGTTTCACAAACTCCTTTCTCTGTTTTTGCTTCGAAGCTCAGCTTCATGTTCATCAATGGAGAAATGTTCTTCATGATTTCTACTTGATTTCGACATGGTATCAGAGCCGTAAGGCCTTCTTCTTCATCTTCCATGATTCCTTTTTCCTCTTTCTTTTTCCTGCGTTGTCAATTACTCTTTTTTTTTGGGAACATTATGGGATCAAATGGTGTTCAGGAAGGGACCTCTACTGGAAATCAATTACCCACTCAAGTTCCTATAGATCTGACTAGTGTGTTCTATGTTCATCCATCTGAAAGTGCTGGATCCACAATTGTTCCAGTCTTTTTCGATGGATCTGGGTATCGTTCATGGAGACGAGCTGTTCTTCGAGGACTGTCTGTAAAGAATAAAATTGGATTCATAAACGGCAAGGTGTTGAAGGCACCTCTTGATTCACCTGGTTTTGCTCAATGGGAAAGGTGTGATGATATGGTCACGTCTTGGATTTTGAATTCTCTGTCTAAGGATCTCAGGGACAGTCTGCAGTATGTTGATAATGCAAAAGAACTTTGGGATGAATTGGAGGACAAGTATGATCAACCAAATGGAGCGAAATTATATCAACTACAACGTGAACTCAATGATCTTAGTCAGGGGAATCTCGATATAACTGGGTACTACACCAGGATAAAGAAGTTGTGGGAAGAGCTTAGCACTTTGGACACCAATTCACAATGCACATGTTTGTGCACATGTGGTGGAAAGTCGAAGATGCACAAAGCTGAACTTGACAGGAGACTAATACAGTTCCTCATGGGACTAAATGAGGTATATACTATTGTGAGAGGAAGCATATTGATGATGAACCCATTACCTACTATGGCCCAAGCTTTTTCTATCCTTGTTCAGGAAGAGAGACAAAGGGAAGTCAAACCTCATAACAAACCTCATATGGACTCAAGCTCTTTTCATGTGAATGCCGCTAGCACCAGTTCTTGTTTCAGAACCAACTATACTCCTCATAAAAACAATGTGGGCACCAGCAGGCCCTCAAGCAAGTCAAATCTCTTTTGTGATTATTGTAAGAAGACTGGTCACATCAGAGAAAAGTGTTACAGGCTTCATGGTTTCCCTCCAGATTTTAAGTTCACCAAAGGTAGAAATGCAGGAACAGCAGCTAATGCAAATGGTTTTTCTGAGGATATGTTGGGAGATACTTTTGAGAAAGGTCATGATGTGGGAAAAGGCAAAGGAAAGTTGCATGAACAGTCAAATTCAATGTTAACCAAGCAGCAGTTCAACCAACTTGTGAGCTTATTGGATCACATTCAAGTTCAAGGAGGCACCAATACTAGCAGCACTGCACATGAGGATGCAAGTAACTTCAATGGTGGAGCTGTCAACTTTGCAAGTATTTTGGCATGTTATTCTTCAATTTCTGATATTGGCAATCTGTCTTGCAAATGCTTAAAACTTAATGTTGATTCCTGGATTATAGACTCAGGAGCCACACACCATATGACCTTTACAAAATCCCTACTTACAAACCTCAGACCTTTACCATATCCATTCCTAATTACACTTCCAAATGGCTACAAGGTAAAAGTGACAGAAATTGGTGATGCATGTTTAAATCCATCACTGACTTTGCATAAAGTGTTATTTGTTCCTAGTTTTAAGTTCAATCTAATTTCAGTCCACTGTTTGGTTTCTCATCTTAAAGGACTGGTCAGTTTTCACTAGTTCCTCTTGTTTGATGCAGGGCCCTTCACAGAAGAGCCCTCTAGAGATTGGTAGAGCACAAAATGGACTCTATTTTCTGTGCGCAAGATGTCACACTTCCTGTTCTACTTCTGTTTCCACTAGATCAACTTCTGTCATTGCATCTAGTTCACCTTGTTCTGTTAATTCACCCATTGCTACTACCTTTTGCAACAATAATTCTGGTAGTTTTTCTCATCACACTTCTGTAAACACTTGTAATGACACATGTTTGAGTAATGATAATGTACTTCAAAATTGTGCTTCAAATGTTACTGCTTCTACACTAAACAACTCTATCATGTCTGGCATGTCTCATGGAAACAATGTTGATTACTTGTGGCACAATAGGCTATGACATATACCATTTGTGAAAATGAAGGGTATTTCTAACATTCCCATACAATTTTCACCCAAACAACCCTTCACCTGTATTGTCTGCCCCATGGCTAGACAAACTAGGCTCCCATTTCCTACTAAGCCCACTATCTCTAGTAACAACCTTTTTGACCTTCTTCATATAGATTTGTGGGGACCTTATCATGTTCCCACACACAACAATTACAAGTATTTTCTAACAATAGTTGATGACTACATTAGATCAACATGGACATACCTTTTGAGCTGCAAAAGCAACACTCTCCAAACCATGCAATCCTTCATATCTCTTGTTGAGAACCAGTTCAAAATCGCTGTCAAGTCAATAAGGACTGACAATGGTTCAGAATTCACTAACAAGGAAACCAATGCTTACCTCACAGCCAAAGGCATCATACACCAAAGAACTTGTCCCTACACACCACAACAAAATGGTGTGGTGGAACGGAAACACAAACACCTTTTAGAAGTATCTAGATCACTACTTTATCAGTCCAAACTTCCAACCAAATACTGGGGGGAGTGTGTATTGACAGCCACCTACTTAATAAATAGAATTCCCAATTCAACATTAAATAACAAAACTCCTTTTGAAATGCTGCACCATCTTCATCCCACTTATTCCCATCTTAGGTCTTTTGGATGTCTATGTTTTCCTACATTAAAGACATATAAAGATAAATTTGATCCTAGGTCCACACCTCACATTTTTGTTGGATACCCTTGCAACACAAAAGGATATAAAGTTCTAGACCTTAGTACCACAAAAATACATGTTTCCAGGGATGTGAAATTCTATGAAAACATTTTTCCTTTTTCTTTACCTAAATCTGATTCTAGTTTTGATACTGTACTACAAACTTTACATACTGATTTGAATGTGTTCAATCCCACTAATTCCACTAATGACATTTTTAACAAAGTACATGTGATGGACAATGATGCCATTTTTGATGTCACTATAAATGAATTGCCTGCACATGCACCTTTCAATGAACCTTCACCACCAGACACTAACCAAGACCTCCCATGTTGTTCAAATTCAAACACTACCACTACTCAACAGCCAGGCCAGCCTCTTAACCTTAGAAGATCCAGTAGACCACACCTCATTCCTGCCTACCTTAAAGAATATGACTGTACCTTACCTTCTTTCCAACATAAATCCTCAACCTCATCCTCTAACCTTGCATTCCCTGCATCCAATATGTCCCTCACAAGTTCTAACCAAGGAAATCAACAAATGGTTAAGAGTTTTTGTCATGACATTGAGCCATGTTCATATGAAGATGCATCACTTGACCCTGCTTGGCAGGCAGCAATGACATCAGAGTTTGAAGCCTTATATGCTAATAACACATGGGATCTTGTCAAACTGCCCAAAGGGAAGAAAGCAATTGGGTGCAGGTGGGTATACAAGATCAAACATAAGGCTGATGTCCTGTCACCCCTTGAGTCCACTGTCAAGCTTAAAGCCGGTGAGGGTACATTGCTGAAAGATCCCACACACTACAGAAAGTTGGTTGGGAAGCTCAATTTTTTGACTCATACCAGAATGGACATAGCTTTTAGTGTTCAGCACCTTAGTCAATTCCTTCAACATCCTAGAGAACCACATCTCTAGGATGCATATCATGTTCTAAGATACTTAAAAGGTGATCCATGTTTGGGCATACACTTGTCTAACAATGCAGACTGTTCACTCACAGCTTACTGTGACTCAGATTGGGCTGCATGCCCTGATACAAGGAAATCAGTAAGTGGTTATGTAGTACTGATGGGAGACAGTCCCATTAGCTGGAAATCTAAGAAGCAAACAACCATATCCTTGTCCTCAGCAGAGGCAGAATACAGAGCCATCAGACAGGTGGTAGGAGAGATAGTATGGCTGGAAAAATTATTAACAGAGCTGGATTTGACATGCACCTTGCCTATAACTGTTTTTTGTGATAGCCAGGCAGCTGTTCACATAGCCAAGAATCCTGTTTTCCATGAGAGGACAAAGCACATTGAGGTGGATTGCCATTTTGTTAGAGAGAAATTTCAAGCAGGACTCATTACACTCCATTACATTCCAACTGAGAGTCAGCTTGCTGATGTTTTGACCAAGGCCATGCCCAGTACCAAACATTCCAGCATATTGCGCAAGTTGGTTGTGAGTTCCTCACCTCCAACTTGAGGGGGGGTGTTGAGATAAATTGTGATTATACAAGTGTAAGTTAGATTAGTCCTCAGTTAGTTAGTTTTCCGTTTACTAGTTAGCTTAGCTTTCCGTTAGTTAGTTAGCTTTCCGTTAAAGTTAGTTAGTCAAGTTTTCTAGAAGATTCCCAGTTCCTATTGTATATATATACAATGTAATCATCTAAAGCAATACAATTTTGATTTCCAAGTTTCACAAACTCCTTTCTCTGTTTTTGCTTCGAAGCTCAGCTTCATGTTCATCAATGGAGAAATGTTCTTCATGATTTCTACTTGATTTCGACAGGATATACAACGAACTTAATTGATCGGAGCCTCTAATTAAAATATTAGAGGGACGAAAAATTTAACGTTTTGATTTAATAAGACTGAGTACATTGATAGCCTTTTAAAATTATTTCGTATTATGAACTTATGTGTCTATTTATAGAAAGGAGGATCCCTTAGCTTGCGGGTCCCCTACCTATATAGAAAGGAGGATCCCTTAGCTTGCGGGTCCCCTACCATGTTAAGTAACTTGGTGACAAGATTAGTGAAATGAACAATCCTTTTCCTTCTTGTGTACGGGGCTACCTAACAGAAAATTCCTTATATATATGCTAATTTTTTTTTAATTAAGTAGCAATAATAATGATGCTTATTAATTGTTAATTATAGCAATACTATTAACTTTACAAAACGCAACAACACTAATTTTGCAAAACGTATAAAATTCAACTAATCTTTGTGTTATGTTGTATGCCATACGTATATCATGCATCTGCTTGAAATACACCTGACATACAAGACATATATATACACAAAGATACATAGTTATATACATATTGATATATTCTTATATGGCACATGTGCGTAATTGTAGGGACACTGAAGCAACATACATCTAACATACACCACACCTACAATGAGATACAATATACATCCACACCGTATATATATTTGTAAGGCTATGACTCCATTGCCTCCAAGAACCAATATATTCCAAGAAACTAAAGAGAATAATGGATTACATTAACATTTTGCTAGGACTGTTATTCGTCTGGATTTTGGTGCGTGGAGTATTCATTTCACTTAGAAGAGCCAAAAGAGTTGCACCAGGTCCCTTCCCTTTGCCAATCATTGGAAATCTTCATTTGCTTGGTGATAAACCCCACATATCACTTACCCAACTCGCAAAAAAATATGGACCAATTATGAATCTCAAATTGGGACAAATAAACGCAGTGGTCATTTCGTCGTCCCTCTGGGCAAAAGAAGTGATGCAAAAGCAAGATTTAGCCTTTTCTAATAGGTTTGTTAATGACGCTCTCCGTGCCTACAATCACAATGATTTCTCAGTTATATGGTTACCTGTCAACAATTCTCAGTGGAGAACACTTCGTAAGATTATGAACTCTCACATCTTCTCAGGTAAATATGCAATTGAGTTAAATTTGAGCGGGATAAAATGAGTCCTGAATCAAGCTAGATGATTTTTTTTCCCTTTATTATATTCGCAGGAAACAAGCTAGATGCTAATGAGCATCTGAGGACAAAAAAGATCCAGGAGTTGATTGATTACTGTCACAAAAGTAGCAAAGTTGGTGAAGCAGTGGATATCGGCAGAGCAACTTTTAGAACTTTCTTAAATTTGTTGTCCAACACCATTTTCTCTAAGGATTTGACTGATCCATTTTCCGATTCTGCTAAAGAATTTAAGGAATTGGTATGTAAGATCATGGTTGAGATTGGTAAACCCAATTTGGTGGACTATGTCCCCTTTCTTAAAAAGATTGATCCACAAGGTATAAGGCGACGCTCATCTGATTATTATACGAAAATTCTTCACATTATGAGTGATTTGATCGATGAGCGGCTAAAGGAAAGGGAATTAGGAAATCGTGAAAATGTTGATGTGTTAGACGCCCTTCTCGACATTAGCGCTGATGAAATTGACAGAAATCAAATCGAGCAACTTTGTTTGGTTAGTTTATTCTCTACCCCTCTTTCTCCAATCGAGCAACGTTCATTTGTTTTTTACTTGTCACTTTTAACATATTAGATAACTTTTTTTTTATGTTTTCACTCTTAATATTAATTACTTATTTCTCAAATTATTTTCCAAAATCTAATACTAAACATCAATTAACAAAGATAGTTTAACGGATTAGTTATATCAATAATTGTTTTTCTTAAGATCTTGACGACTCTGGATTAGTATGAGAAGATCTTGTATAGGTTTCTCCTTCTCATCAATTTTTTTTGGTGCAACCCTTACTACTAGTCCCACTAATATGTTAGAGATAAGGTTCATGAAAGCAACATATGTTTGGAATCTCACTTGATTTTATATGGTATATTCTATAGGATCTTAAACCAGTAAGTTTTGCAGGACTTGTTTGCAGCAGGGACCGATACAACGTCAAATACATTGGAGTGGGCAATGGCAGAACTACTCAAGAATCCACATACTTTCGAGAAAGCACAAGAAGAACTAGCACAAGTAATTGGCAGAGGCAAACTAATAGATGAAGCTGATGTTGCAAAATTACCTTACTTGAGATGCATCGTAAAAGAAACCTTTCGAATACACCCACAAGTTCCTTTCCTAAATCCGCGCAAAGTTGAGGAAGATGTTGATCTTTATGGCTATACTATTCCAAAAGACTCACAAATTCTTGTGAATGTATGGGCAATAGGGCGCGACTCTAGTCTATGGGAAGACCCTTTGGACTTTAAGCCGGAGAGGTTTTGGGAGTCAGATATAGATGTTAGAGGTATGGATTTTGAGCTAATTCCATT